TTTTTAATTCATTCAAATATTTTAGTATTGAACAATTGTCTACAATGGGTAATAGAATAGTAAGTAATGATATTTGAATTTATATTTTATTTTTTTTATAAAAATAAATAAAAACAAAAATTATGTTCTTTTAGTATTTTTGTTGTTAATTATTAAAATATTTATTGTATTAATTTGTAAGAAAAAAAATAATATACCATTGTTATTAGAAATAATCACTAACAATAACTAAATTCAATTCATATCTCCATTTTTTTATTTACTTTTGAGAAAATTTTATATAAATATTGTTTCATTTATAAATTTTATTGCAATTTCTTATTTTAATTGTTTAATTATATTTAAATTATTAAAATTGATTTAATTTTTTGTTACCTAATTATTTAAATTGATTTGATTTTTTGTTACCATTTAGATGCATCATTTTCACTGTATTGACATTGTTACCTTTTAATTATCACATAATTTACTGTCAAATTCTCCAAAATCACCCTTTGACATTAATGAAGTGGGGCCTACTTAAATAAATGGGCCATCACCAATAATATATTTACTATATTATATTGTAGTATAAAATATAATTATATAAATATATATTACATACACCTTATATTATTTTAATTTATTTATAACAATAATAAAATAATATTGTTATCCCCACATTATTTTGGAAATAATAATTTTAAGAAAAAAATAAAAATCCAATAACAATAACCAACAAAGACCTAGCAACCCAAAGTAAACCGATCCCAAGAGCCAGACACTTTTACTAACCAATAAAATTCAATAACAATAACCAACAAAAGAATCAGACACTTTTACTAATCAATAAAATACTACTACCTTTGTCTAGTCAGGAAGTAAATATATTTCTAGTAATATATGAGTTGATGCGACCCATTTATTTGTGCTCGGGTCCAATTATTTGGATTTCAAGTCCGGATCCGGTCGGGTATAGTGTACCTTTATTGGGTTTGGGTCGGGTCACAAATCTAAGGTGGACCTAACCTGATCTGACCCGAACCCGATTAATATATTAATAATATATCAATTATATATATATATGAAAAAAGAATTAATAATATAAATTATATATTAAAATATGTTTTTAGTTTTATTTATTTATTATTATATTGCAATATTTTTGAATAAAAACATAGATTTTAATATATATCGGGTCTGGGTCCTGATTCGGATCTAATTTTGAGTTAAATTTTAAGAATTGCAATTAAACTTTTGGGTTCATCGGGTCTTGTCAAGTATTGCTCAAGTCGAGTTCGAGTATAGTTGGGTCCAAATCGAATCTCGGATCGAACAAAAAGTATTTGGGTCGGGTCTCAGGTCCGGTTGGACCCGACCCATTATCATCCATACCCTAGAAGGTCTATTTCAAAATGGACGGCGAGAGTATATTATAGTCCTCTCATAGCAATAATTTTTAAATCATATGTAAATACTCTCTCTGTCTCAATTAATTTGTCCATTTTAGTTGAGATACAGAGTTTTAAGTGTTATGTAATTAATAAATACTTAACAAATGTATTAAAAAAAAATAATTATGATATAATAAAAATAATTATAAATTAAAATTAAGATGATTAAATAGTTTAATTAAAATAAAAAATATAAATTATGAATTTTAAAATGCGATTAAAATGTATAGTTATGTTTCCAAAAAAAATGGACAAATTATGTAAGACGTGCCGGAATAGAAAGAGTGAACAAATTATGTGAGAAGGAGGAAGTAGTTTTTTGTTTTTTTAAATTATCTTTTATTTTTACATTTAATCGGATTCTTTTATTATTGTTAAGTTGAAAAACCCCGTTACTTATTTTTGGCATATTGATAAATCATCTTTGTGCTGCTGTTGTCATCCGAATCCATAAACAACATCATTTGACACAGTTTGTGCAGTCTGATCAAGTTGTATTTTATTTGTCTTTCCTAGGACGGTAGTTTCTCGAGACAAAATGAACACTTTGAATTTATCCTCTTTGTGGTCAGAAATGTATAGAAACACACAATTCCGTTTTTTGTTCAAGGGAATTAATTGCATGTATGCAACATGCTTGTTGTGGCTGCCTTACACAACTTGAGATTGTGGGAATGTGAGTGTCGTGGTTTTGAGAGTGAGTGTAGTAAGAGAAAAATTGAACAATTCTCTCAACCTCAACTCTTCCCATCTTCATACATTGAGTGAGTGATATACACTACTATCTCGCCGGAGAGTTCATCGGTCGAAGGGGAATCGAAGTTCCAATTGGGGGAATATTCAGAATCTGAGCAGCCCAGCTATTTGTTAGTTGTCCGTACATGTTTATGAAAGATTTTTTTGGGTGTTTTGTTCTTAATCAGCACTGATTAGTGAACCTCACATAGATTGGGATCCTCCGGATGGAAATTGGTTATAACCGAATCGGGTTATCAAATATCTAGTCATTTATTGTTTTGGCGATGCTGTTATAACTGTGATATAACTAAGTTTCGAAAGTTGACCCTTGAATAAGTGTTCGAAAGTATATTGGTGCAACACTTATTCTTCCCAACAATTATTATTATAATTATTATTAATTTTGTATTTTCTTTTATTAATTATGTAGTATATTACTTTTAAAAAGTATATAAATGCAAACTAATTAACCATCCACATTATAATAAACTTTATATATACAATCTTTTAGTTCTTCCAAAATCATTTTTCAATTGTAATTTTTCAAAAATAATAATAAAAAATACAATTTTTTTTTATACAAAATTCAAAAAGAAAAGAAAAAATCTAAAATACTAGTTATAAAAGTCAAATATTCAACTTAAAATAATATACTCAATTTGTATTAATTCAAAGTATCATTTTTATTATTTTCGTCCGTCCTACTCAAAAGTACATCTTTCAATTTTTTTTAGTAAAATCAATTATACACCGATACAAAAATACCATTAACTTTTATTTAAATTACAAAAATAGCATTACACATAGAATTATTTTATAAAAAAAGTCAAGAGTAAAAATATCAAAATCTCTTATACTTCTACTGACTAATAAAACATTATTATTATTATTATTATTATTATAATTTTAATTTACTAAAAAACCCCAAATGACACCTTTTAAAAGGGAGGCAAATAGTATTTTATATTTTGGATACGATTCTCTATACTACATATAAAAAATTATTTCATCTAATAACGCTAAAGAAATAAAATCAATATTAATTTTTAATGACATTTTATAATATTTTTAAATAATACTTCGTCTGTCCACAAACTAATATCTTATTTTTCTATTTGAATATTCAATAACTGTTGTCTTATTTTTCTTTTTAAGCATAAATTTTATTTTATTTTATTTTTTATTGATTTATGATTTTTAATTTTTATTTTACCATAAAAGGTAAACTTATATAAACGTTACCATAAAAAGGTTAAACTTGTAAATTGATAAGAAAAAAAAGTAATTATCTAGTTAAAATATACTTTAGACAATATAAATTAAATGTATAAAGCATTTGTTATTAATTATATTTATTTAGTTTAGGAAATGATATACATTGTTTTTGATAATTTATAAGCAAAATTTTCTATTCTCCTCCCACAATTTTTTGAAAAATTAATTACTACTATTATATTAGGAGTAAAAGGGGAAAACCGCGGTATATTTGTTTTGTGTTTTGATTTGAATTTTTTTTTATGTGATATATATAAATTTGTGTAAATAATATAAAAAAATAAATATGTGTAATATATTAATTATTTTGAAAAATGTATTAAATTTTTTTTGGTAAATAAACAAACCCAGATTTTGAAACAGACCGATTCATCTGAGTGATTTATATTTAATACTCATTTTTATGTCGATATATGGGTTTGTTTGTTTTGCCTCCACTAGTTTCTAATATACGAAAATAAAATACTATCTACGTCCATGGGCGGTAGCTACAGTGCTGAATGTCACACCATGTGCTACCGGACAGCATACATTGTTACTATATGCAACACATAATATACATTAATATAATACAAATATAAAACATGATATAGTCTTACACAATACATGCAATACTTATATTTTAGGATATGATATACTTTCATATAGCACACATTGTTGTTTGTAATAAAAGCATGTGTTATTTGGTGTGCTGATTTGCTAACCTTCCCCCACCATGTACCATGATTTTTTGCATATAGATATAGATCCTTAATATTACTTCTTCCATCCCACATTGTTCATATTTTCTATTTTCGTCTGTCCCCCGTAATTTATCATTTTTTTTTGAAAAATTGATTATATACTTTATTAATATTTTAATTTTTTTAATTTTAATTAAACTATTTAGTTATCTTAATTTTAATTTATAATTATTTTTAATATATAATAATTATCTTTATTAATATACTTTTAAATTATTTATTAATTATACTTTAAGTAAATTCCTATATCTATAATTATACACCCATATTATCTAGGACAATGGATGTAATTATTATCTTAATATAATACTTCCTCCGTTCCGTTGGAAAAGTGACGTTTGCTTTTTGCACGTAGAGTTTTTAATTATTATATTGAATTGTAGTAAAAATGACAAAAATACCCCTGTTAGTATGGTGTAATATAAAAGTAACGATATTTGTGTAATATTTTGTAAGTTGAAAGAATATTTATTACATGAAATAGGTAATACAATTAGGGAGTACAAAGATACTCCTATCAGTATGGTGTAATATAAAAGTAATGACATTGTGTAATATAAAAGTAACTACATTTGTGTAATATATTGTAAGTTGAAAGAATATTTATTACGTGAAGTGAAGTAGGTAGTGTAATTATTAAAAAATGATAGTTTTATTTATTTTTGAGACGACAAAAAAAAAAAATTATGATAACCTTTAGTACAAATAAAATGACCTTCGTATCGAAGGGAGTTAGTATATTAATATCTCATCCTATATTATTTAAATAATAAGATACTCAAACTAAAATTTTCCTAAAACCATAAAGAAAACGTACCCACAGTTCACCCCTGTAACCTAAAACCCTTAAAACCCCAAAGAGACGATCAGAAGAAATTTTCTTTGTTCTACCATGATCGAGGGCAAATTGATTTCGTTTCTGAGGAAATCCAATCCCGTTACTCAAAAATTGAGGGGATGTAAATCATTTTGCGCTCCTGGTGGGCTGATAAATGAATCCCAATCAAGATTATACTCTTCATTACCGAGATTGATCCCTGCTTTCACGCCGCCAGCCGCGAGGGGCTACATTGGCCATGGTTTGAGATCGCTTCTGCAAAATAATTGTAAGGTATTTATTAATTTTGAAATTTAGTCGCAAAATTAACTGGTTGGTGCTTATGCTGATCTAGGTTTCGCATTTCTTGGTGAATAATTATTAGAAAAAACCACAGTTTAATGGTGTGCAATTTGAATTCAATTTATTTTACGAATACTTTTTTTTTTGGCTATTTTGTTGAAAGAAATTATTGGCAATGTGTTTGCAGTTGTCAAAGGCTGAAGGCTATCCCTTGGTTGTATATTCTTCATTGGCTTGTTTGGTTGGTTATACTAGTTCGATACTAGGTGCAACTTAACCTTTTATGCATATTAGATTAGATTGAGCTTTCGCATAAATTGCAAAATGGCTATCATATCACTTTTCAGCATTTTTTTGGTTGTTGATTCTTGACATTTATGATAGATTGTAGCCACTAACACATTGCTTCCATACTGTCTTCAGAACTTCTCTAAGCTACCATTCAGGAATATCTCCAGTGCAGCCTCCATATCTGCAAAAAATAAGGAAGGCGTGAAGCTTCTCGTAACTGCTGGACCACATGCTCAGAAAGCAGTTGGTGCTTGGCTATTTGTGTCTGCTGCTTGGGTGTTTAGCATGGTGGTTCTTGGTGGTGTTACGCGGCTGACTAGATCTGGCCTTTCAATGACTGACTGGAAATTTACTGGAAGTCTTCCGCCGCTCTCGGATGAAGAATGGCTTGTAGAATTTGAAAAATACAAGCAATCCCCTGAATACAAGCGGTAAACTAAGTCTGATTATGTTCCACTTTGTTCTTGACTGAATCTATTCTTTACCTTTCTTGCCATGATTTGAGGTTGAATCTGAAACAGCCAAAATTTTGTTTCCTGCACCCGTGATATATCATGTTTTAAACTTTTCAAAGGGCCTCTCTCTCTCTCTCTCTCTATATATATATATATATATATATTTATATATATAGCTCATTGCTTAGTATTTTCTTAGACAACTGTAAAATGCAGCTAAATCAGTGTTTGAGTGTTCCATAATTCTCCACTTGTTGCTGTAAGTTTTGTATTGGCTTGTGATCCTCTCTCGGCTGCTCCAGGATAAACAAAGGGATGAATCTTGATGACTTTAAATTCATATATTGGATGGAGTATGCCCATCGTATGTGGGGAAGGGCATTGGGTATTATGTTTGCACTACCCTTTTCATATTTTCTACGAAAAGGATACATTACTCTCCGTTTGGGAGTAAGACTCTCTGGATTATTTGCTCTTGGTGCTGGTCAGGGATTGATAGGCTGGTGGATGGTCAAGAGTGGTTTGGAGGTAACAAAGCACATGGATTAACCATTTAATTCTGATTCGTTAATAGTGACAACTTGAAACAAATGATTTCTATTCAATTCTGTTAGGAACCTGTATCTGAGTATGCTGAACCAAGGGTAAGCCCATATCGCCTTACAGCCCATTTAACTTCGGCATTTGTTATATATGCTGGGCTCTTTTGGACTGCTCTTTCTGTTGTTATGCCTGAACCTCCTACGGAATCCATAGCCTGGGTCCAAGGGTCAGCAAAGGTCAGGCGAATTGCTCTTCCAGTAAGTCTTCTTGTTGGGATAACTGCCATCTCGGGAGCATTTGTTGCTGGGAATGATGCTGTAAGTAAATCGACTCTTACCTTTTCCCACCTTTTCCGCTGGTGAATTAGGAATGGAGTGTTAGATATTAAATGATACCGCATTTGATAATTTCAGGGCCGTGCATTTAATACTTTCCCAAAGATGGGCGATGCATGGATTCCAGATGACATCTTTAGCCTGAAACCGTTGATTCGAAATTTCTTTGAAAATACATCAACTGTGCAGGTGATGTATTCCATTTAATAACATAAGGATTAGAGCTCCATAGCATTGATATCAATTACTCATGATTATAATATATTTTTGGAACAATGGCTAGAAGATTAAACCTGAAAATATCCTCCAAAGGAACAACTTCAGTAACCTTGAATTTTCAATATGAAACTCAATTAAAATACTTCTGAATTAAAATGTTTTCATGAATGAGTGTATTATTATTATTATTTTTTTTACTCCGATCATGATCTTTTTGTTATGCTCCGTTGTTTTCACCCCATGAGGGTGCAGAGATGATTGATGCTCAGAGCTTGTGGGTTTTAAAAACTGCTGGAACCTGCATTCTTGTAAATGGTTTCAATCAGCTAGTCAGAGTCAAGGCCTTGGGGCATAGTATTGTGTGTGTGTGGGTGGGGGGGGGGGGGGTGATTAGGGTTCCTCGACTGGTCACAACTAAGATTCTCCTTGGTTATCTGTAACTTCTTTATTTCTCAAATTCATATTTTTAGAAATTTTAGGTTATATAACCTTCAACTTGCTAACATGACAGTGAAAATTTTGTATGCTTTCAGACTAAATATCAAGAATAGATAAGTACTTTTAATCATGTGATTGGAAATAATGAGTCTACTTGTAAAATATGGAGTGATAAGAAGAACCTAATTAATGTTCTGGCATCATCATCCTTGTGCAACTGAATGTTTTACCTATTTCCTACATGAACTACTAGGAAGGATTATCTGCTGTTGTTCTAGACTGAATGCTCACTCAATGTGTTTGATGTATTACTTTTCTGAAATTTGTCATCTTATCTCAGCTTGACCATCGGATACTTGCTACGGCAACCTTATTTTCAATTGGTGGATTGTGGTGGTCCGCAAGAAAAGTTGATTTACATCCTGCAATACGGTCTTTATTAGGAAGCACTTTGGGCATGGCTGCTCTTCAGGTATTATAATCTTTTTATGTCTTGCCTGTGGCAATCCCATCCCTCTGTGATAGTATGTTTCTTTTAGTTTTGATGATATGGAAACAATATATTGCAGTTAGACATGAAATTAATACCGTCCGTTCTTTTCCGTTTTTTTTTAATGGGGTAAAGGTTACAAATAAGAATCTAAAGTAATCTGACACTACTGCTTTACGGTTTAAACAAAACTTCTTACTTCTTAGTATTTGGCTAATCTCTATATGATTGATGTGCCAGAATATCTAAGTTTATAAAATGATAAAAAATACTGCCTTTCTAGTTTTTGGATCTTATATAAAAAAGAAATAGTAATGGTCTCAATATAGATGAACACCCTGAGAAATTCATATTCTTTAATTTGTGTGAAAAAAATGCGCTCCACAACCCCCTCCCCCCAACCAGTGTTGTCACGGCGTCGCCTTGGTGTCCAGACGGCGTTTGCCTCGCCGTTTGGCGAGGCTGGCGGAGCCATGGCGATGCCAAATGGAAAGTTTCTGTCTGATCTATGCCTGAACCGATCTAGGGCCTGACTGATTTATGTCTTTTTTCTCCCTTTTCTGTTTGGTCCGCTGGTCCACCATACTGGTTAATTAAAAAATATTTAAATTTTGTACTTTGTATTTTATTAAAACTATAATTTATATTTTATTTGAAACTGTGATCTAAAGTTATAAGTTTGCATTATATAATAAACTAGGGGTGGATGCTATGCTGAACTGAGGTTAATCTAAACAGTTGATTATAAAATTATTCATTTAATTAAAATAATTAAGTTTAAAACATAGGGGTGGGATTGGATTCAGCATATGCAGAATCAATGTACACTTCAGCATATGATCTAATCCCTATAATAAATATTAGAAATTTATAATAAGTAAGTCACCATATAGCCAAATTGTCGCCATGGCGCCTAAGTGATCTGGCGGTTTGGTGGCGCCATGTCCGAAACCTTGTCGTGACAACCTTGCCCCCAACAATACAGAAAGCTATTATCTGCACATATAGTTCTTAAGAAACAAAATTTCTGTAGGGCCTAATCTATTTTTACGCAACTAGTAATTACTTGTAATAACATAGTAACTCTAGTTCGACTGTAATTTCACAAAATCACTTTATATTAATAAGCTGTATAATTATTTTCTATTTCAACATTTTAAAACGCATATGATAAATACGATGTAACAATCCAAGAGATCCAAAGGTACCTTAAATCACTTACCAATCCCACCAGTTCTTTAGTGCTGACAGACACATACTTCTCAAAGATTCCTGCTCCGAAGCCAAATATATTGTCTGCAGTGTCCATATCTCACTTGTACCTAGCTTGGATATGATTTCTCAAACCTTGAGTTGGTTTCACCTCCTCCATGGTTTCCAAGTTTATATTCCGACTCAGGCGTAACAGTTGATTTATTCTCTACTAAAATTTTTCTCATATTTGCCTCCCTACAGGTTACCTTGGGGATATCTACTCTTCTCTCTTATGTTCCAGTTTCACTCGGCTCTGCTCATCAGGCTGGAGCTTTGACTCTTTTGACCCTAACAATTCTTCTCAACCACACTCTTCGACGGCCCTCATTGCAACTTCTGAAAACACTTCCAGCTGTAGTGAAAACTGCATGATCATTTAGGCTTTGATTGCACAGGTACGATAATATAATTCGAATCATTCACTGTGCAGCTGTGCTTTGCCTGATTGTTTATTTTTTGGGGGTATAGAGTTATCTTCAGTTTACCAACCTGGTTTGAGAGCCGTATTGTGTTCCATGGTAGCTGTGAATTATAGAAAACTCATACTCTCACCTGTGTTAAATTCTATCGATGGTTAAAATAATGTTATGTTTAACACTTGTATGCAAGTCAACATAAGGAATATCCTATGAATATATTTGCTAACATCATGAATATTTACTTAATTCATTTTTTTATGGTTTATTTTCACTTGCAATGTGAGGCAATATGCATAATCCGTGTAGAAAGCTTATAGCCCGTTAGCTAGCGATCTTAGAAACAATTCCTCATCTGTACAATATGCATGTGACTAGTCGCACCAATGGGATCCCTTCTCCTGGTTTTCCGTACCCAACCTATAGGTCTGCTGTGCCATTCTGGCAAATATAGATTGGCTTAGCTGCTGTTAATACGTTGAGTGTGTTAGATATATTGTTGTATATAGGCCATTTTTATACTAGTTTTTAGGCCCTTCTTTCGATATTTTATTGATTTGTTTGTGCATATATAATGTAGATTTGTGCAATCGTATTTTTCAATCATTCAGAACAATCTTTTTACTTCACATTGTATCATAGCCTCTTTAAGCCTAACCTGAATCACTTCGATTTCATCTGGTAATGCCTCGCATAGACTTTCAGATCGATCAGGCTTGGGTTCACAATCACCATCGTGCTCGGACCCTTGCTCTGTTTTCAACCATTCTGTTTATTGCCAATCAGCGCCTATTTTGGCAGTCAATCGATCCAACTCTGCATCTTATTTTTACAAATTCCACAATTTGTTATGAACTTTGGGCACATGCCAAGATTAATACACCAACAATATTCAACGGTTGTACAGTGTTGTGTCTAATCTAGTCAATCTTGGTCAAGCAGGATTGACAAATTCAGAGTATTTAGACAACCTTTCATTTATTAGCTTGATGGTTCTTACTCTTGATGATGATGATTATTTCCGTCTATTACGTGTCTTTCTAACCATTGACTCTGAAGACAAGTCTGCTCGCTTTGTCACACGTCTTCGGAACTAAATGTAACTATTGTACTAGGTAGGGCTATCGCTGTGAAAAATGTTTTAAAAAATTAATTATATGGATAGCCACCTTGGGCTATTGTTGGACAACCTGAAACCCCTCAGTTGTCAGTAACCGGTTCTGACAAGGAGAAATACATTGCTGCATACCAAGCTTTCAAGAAGTCTATCTTCTTCAGGTTGCCTTTATTGTGCACATTGATACATCTCTTGGTCCCTGGATCATTGATTTTGGTGCCTTTCGGTAATCCGAAATTGTTCTCTAACTTTCATAAAACTGTTCCATTATGTGATGTTACTTTGGCCTATGGTTCTCAAGTTTATGTTTAAGGTTGTAGTATTGTTTATGTACCCTTGACATATGTTTTATTTTCATCTAACTTTGTTTCCGTTAGTCGATTAATTACTTTTGCAAATCGAATAAACATTTTGAAGTTGTGATTTTATCCCCCAATCAAATTATGCAGAAGGATATTAAAATAATTTTTTATGAGTGAATGGTATATGTAGAGTGCTTGATCCAAGAGAAAAATGTGGACTCTGTCTAGATAGGAGTTTGGCAAGAAATTTTAATAAATAATAGGATTGATAGTGTAGAATTACTCCCTCCGTCCCCAGTCACACATTTATGTTTTATGTTGTTCTACTTAATATTAAAAATATTCTTATATTTATATAATTTTTTGTATAAATATTTTTTAATTAGTAATATAAAACACTAATGAAAATATTTTTGTAATTTTTTCTAATTTGTACTACGTTATGATATAATATTATTTTAATAGTATTAGATTGAAAAATAAGTTTAATTTGATTTTGTAAATATATTAATATAAATATAATCAATATATTACATTTTTATAAAAAGTAAAATTTTACTATACAATACAAAAATAAAAGATTAATTTATTATTAATATAAAAAATACTTTAGAATAATGTAAGATATATATATTATTTCATTTTCTCTCGCTGTTGGAAGAAATTAGTCCATTTTTCTATATGGTACTTCCTCTATTTCGGATATTTTGTTCACTTTACTGTAAAAACGAGAATTTAGGAGGGGTATAATTAGTAAATAATTAAAAATGTATTACCGAAAATAATTATCGAGTAATAGATTAAGATTAAGATAATTTATTAGTATAATTAAAATTAACAAAATTATAAATTAAATTTTTTAAAATAAGATTAAAATGTATAATTCTCTAGAAAGGTGGACATGAGATGTGAGACTGAAGGAGTATTTCCTCATTCTACCTTTTTCGTCCACTTTCATATAGACGCGAGAATTTAAATAAAATATAATTAATAAATAATTAAAAGTATATTATTAAAAATAATTATTATATAATATTAATAATTATCTATTAAAATTAAGATAACTAATTAATTTAATTAAGATATACTCCCTCGTAATTAATTAGTTTGATTAATGGGTGTAATAAAGTGTTATATTAAATATTTTTTATTTAATAAAATGTTAAATTAAAAGTTAAAATATTTTTTATTTTAATTTTTAAATATTAAATTTTTTATTTACTGATATTATTTAAAAATAATAATAATGATTGTATTTATTGTAAATTAATACATGCATTTAGATAAAAAAAAAATAATTTTAATAACTTACATGTAATTTATACAATAAAAAATGTAATAAAAAATTATATAAATAATACATAAAATTTTTCGAATTTGGTTGTCAGAGATAGTTCGTTATAACATACCAGATTTAATACCACATCGCATACGTACGGTACAAAATTTTTGGTATGATATTTTACCGTACCGTACAAATATTTTGGTATACCGAATTTGCAAATAAAAAATACTGAATTAAGAAAATAGCATGCATACTCGTAAAAAGAAATACCGGAAAAATTTCAAAATTTTGATACAATACTAATTTTTTTGTATGATAACGTATACAATAAGATATTTTCAGTGTATATAGATAATTAAAAAAAAATTGATATTTTTGTATATACTGATTATTTGATACAATATCAATATCGTTTTTTAAAAAATTTAAAATTTTGGTATGGTATACAATATATTTTGATATTTTCAGTATATCATCTCAAACCATCTCTAACTGAATTGTATACACAGTATTAGAATATAATATTTTACATCAAATACCAAAATTAAAAATAAGTTTATAATTTTGCTTTATAAATAAGTTCTATTTTTTTTATTTTTTTCTAACAAAGAAAAAAAATCAATATCAAAGCTCATTTTTAATTAATTTTTCAGTCATAAATTTTCAAATCAAACATCAAATTTTTATTATATATTAAATTAAAATTTAATTTTAAAATTAAATGAATATTTATTTATATAAAATTTTAATTTATTATTTTCATTATTCAAAATTTTAGCCAAACTTCTAAATTTACAATTAACAATAATGAAACTAAAGATATTGGTAAGTTAATAAAATATAGTTAAATTTTTTTTAATTAGAAGTATTAGTTACTAATTATTACTATAATAGGAAAGTGGACTAATTTCGTGGGACGGCTAAAAAAAAAAAAGTGGATTAATTTCGTTGGGACGGAGGGAGTAAAAAATTGTTGATTATATAATTTAAAATGTTTTTAAAATGTATAATTGTAAGGACAAATTAGATAAGATGAAAAAAGTTGGAAATAGTGGAAAAAATAGTGGGAAAGATAAAGTAATAATATTAATAAATAATAATTAAAATTAAAAATCTACCTGCATTTAATTAAATTATTAATATTTTTAACTTTATTATTTATTTGATTGTTAATTTAAAAATTGGACTAGAATTTTTTATAATAAAAATTATAATATATATTTAACATAATATAAATAGATATTTATAGGTAGTTTCGGTACTTCCAATAAAAATTCTTTGAAATCAAAATCGTCGCGTAGCAAGTGGTGTCGAGGTCGATTCACACGGACGGTGATGTTTAATTTTTGTTTTATCACTATTTTAAGGAAGGAGGGGGGAGCTTAGCAAATTTAACTAACATAATTAAATAAAAGTTAGATTTAAAAGAATAAAATATTTTGCCGAAAGAGTGAATAAGAAACTAAATTAAAGATGGATCTTCAATTTTATAAAATCTTGTTATTTAATTGATAAATTGATTATAGTCATTAGATATGATCATAACGCCCAAATTTTTTTATTTTATTAGCGACAATGGTACGACCGATTGACCACATCTTTAATCAACGAAATAATCTAGGTACGATCATAAATTAATTTCTCTAATTGAAAATAGCACGAGAAAAAAATCAATTCAAATATTCAATTAATTACAAAAGGATTAAATTATTTGATCATGCAATCCTAGACTACGCTTGTCAATCTATTTATCACTATATCAAACAAGTGTACAATTATGGATTCAAATGTTCGATTGACAAAAAATTGCTAAATCAATATAAAATTCGGTTGCGATTAAAGATTAAATACAACAAATATCCGAATTGGAGCAATTTAATGACACCTAATCATCGAACTGCAATTGCTTCGACCCCATTTGGACATTTATTGGAAATACCTTCCGGTTACATTGGTTGGGAAGTATGGGGGTATATGTAGATTGTTATAATTTTGAATTTAACGTCTTTGTTTTGGTGAAAGGGTTTTTATTCCGTTTTTGGAGAATGATTTTTCAATAGTAATGGGATTACACTATTACACCGTAAAGTTCACTCTATTCCTGATATAGTAGAAAATAATTCGTCATTTGTTAATTGTTTCTTTGAGGGGAAGGGCAGCAATGTTCGCAGGAAAATTATTGTGAAACAAATGAGAAATACATACTCTTAAACTTGGCAATAGCTTATCGAATATTCAAGATTTTGTATGACTCTATATTTATTTAGTTTTTGTAGTATTTTATACCCAACCTCCAATAATGTCCTTCCGCCGTTTCTATTAAGTCATGTAGACAAATTGGAATCAATAGGCGAATATGCATTGGGAACAAGTGTCTACCGTTTTCTTCTACGTTATATATATTTTGAACCACAATCCCTTTTTTTAACCATGCCTGCTTGTAGCTAATTTTAACTATGTAGTTGGTTTCTATGTCCTTTACTATATTAGTTGGTCTATACAACGGAGTTATCCTTAGCTTGTCTTTCACGATTTCGGCTATCCACGGGGAGTCGACATGTGGATGGCCTCGATCTTGAAGATTATCTTCGCCGCATGTATGTTGCATGTTGGATTTACCTGTGCGAAATAGCCTATATGTTACGTGATAAGCGGTATACATATGCCACTCACAACCCTCCTTGTTGCATATACAATGATTTTCTTGTTATCTTTCTTTTTATACTTGAAATAACGGCGAGTGACAATAGCATAAATTTTCAATGTCATACAAAAATCATTGGCAACCGCAAAAATTTGATTGCCCCTGGTTAGAGAGCGAGAAAAGGAATCCAATAATTTTGATTTGACAATTGTCATTTTATTGTTGGATTCTACGTCAATGTCTCTGCAAGAAAAAAAGTGGGTTAGTAAAATATATAAATATAAACACACTAGATATAATATATCTGGATGGACAAATAATACCTATAAGAATTTGAACGGATTGCCTCGTTGTTCGATAATATTATCATATCAACCATTGTCAATTTAAAATTTAGATGCATGCGTATTATATTTGCAACAAGTGGAGCCATATATTGATGTCTCGTTAAATTATTATTAATGTATCTCCATTATCGCTCTACTTTCAAAAAAAATATCCACCAACTTAGCATCTGGCTCTATTGATATTACGTATAGCTCCTTGTCATTTTTACAAACAAGAAGAATACTAGATATACTTCATTCACTTGACATTTCTACAGTAAAAAAATCAACAAAATATTAAAACACATTTATCCTAGAAATCATTTAAAAACAATAAATAAATAGTATAAAAACTTACCAATGATTTAGAATTTCTAATGTAGAAAGTAATCTATTGATAATGATCCCAGAAAAAAATACAAAATTGTTAGTGGAAACCTACCGCAGCGCGCGCGGATGATTCGGCGGAAGAGAATCCAAACAGTGAGATTTTTTATTTGTGTATGTTTGTTTAAATTATGTATATTAATGGTATATCAATCTTTTTAAATAGCAGGAGTATTTAAATCTTTTGAACAAAAATAAAAATTGAAAAAAATAAATAATTTAAAATTGAGAGTTTAAAGACTCCCTTATTCCCAAAATATAATCTCCCGGATACATAGTACAATAATGTGTATATATACTTTAGATATATGTGAATGAAAAACAATATTTTCTCAAGTATTTAAATAGAGGGAATATCAACAAATAAAAATAGAATATTTGATGTCCCATTTTAAAACAACACACAATAGTTATATAAATAAAACTCTCTAGATTTGTTGAGGTGCATGCTATTTCTGTGTCTCCAACTTTATTCAATAAACCAACACATGGTAGTTTGTTTAAGGTTTAGGGTTAAGTGACAAAATACTTGTAATATATATAAACATTTTATTTATTTTTATTTGAATAAAATGTAGATACAGACAGAAAAAGTCTACTTGGGCCCATGCCTAGTTTTTTTTTCCTTTTTAGGAACAAACACAATATGTCCTCTTTGGATGCTTTCTCCACCTGCCACGAGGCAGATTTTGCAAAGCCAAAAAACCTAATCATACAATAAGCATTAAACTGAGGCCATTTTCTCCCTAAAACAAAACCACCACCACCTGTCACTTAGCTCCCTTTTAGATTGAATCTTATAATTTTTTCAAAATTCATATCTGAATCCAAATCTATTTTATATGGTTCACTCCATCCGTCAATTTTATTTATCCAATTTTGTTACGGTAATTTTATTCTAACCATAACTCTATTTTTCACTATTATTCTTCAAATATTCATTTTTTTTAATTATCTTAAAAGTTGCTATTGTGCCAAATAACCACTGGGTTGGAGATGCTCTCAAATACAATATTTTTAGTTCCAATCCAGAATGGACCCAAATCCAGATGTTTTTATATATACTTCCTCTTTCATGTAAACCAAAAAAAAAAAATTTCACTTGGTTTGCACATGAGTTTTAATGTGGTAAGTATTTCTTTTTATCTCTTATAATAAAAAAAGTTATAATAAAAAAAAAGTTAAAAATAATAAAAAGTTATATGATTTTAACTAGAAAGTAATTTTTTTTTTTTATGACAAACAAATAAAAAAAAATTTTAATTTTATGATAGAGAGGGTAATATATTTAATTACTATATTAATATAACCATATACTTATTACATAATATTTGATGGTTTAATCTATCTATTTCGCATTATAAGTCTATCGTTAATTAGATAAATTTATATATTAAAATTGAAAATATCTATCCAATTATATTTAATTCCCGAATATTTGAAAATATTTGTAAAATTTATACATTGAATTGAACCGGAACCTGATTTCTATAAGGACACTGGATCCAAATCCGGATTCAAACCAAACCGGGTCTAACTAGACCGAATCCTGTAAACAATTTTTAAATTTCAGACGGATCCAATTCCAGATCTAAGGAATCGTATTGGGAGGCCCAATATCAGATCCGACAGACCTATCAAGGCCCAAAGAGGGATGCTCAAAATGAACCTAAAACCTGCTTCTAATCCATAAAACCACTTGCCCATCAAGAAAAATTCAAATAATAATAATAAAAAACCATTTATTTATTATAAGCATAACAAATGTCTTAAGGAATATTACTCCAGGTCTGTTAATTTGTATTAATTTTCTCGGCATGTAACGCAATGAAATAAATTAACCCCTCTACTCATTCTCCTATATAATATATTTATATTATATTATATTTATATATACAATATATAAAATAGTGATTAACTGTAAAAATAATTAATATTTCTATCGATTAATCCTATAATAAAATTACTACATTATTGTCCTCGGTTGATGACCAAAAAATTGAAGGCTAACAATAAAGATGAAAAACTACTACTACAAAAATAAGGAACTGAAAGGCAATAATAAAGAGGGGCATTTCTACCAAAACAACATATATATTAATAAAATGACATCAATATTGGATAAATAATCAAAGTATAAGCAGCAGGCAGATCAAAATGTTTGCAAAAGCAATATATATATATATATATAAAAGAATAGTTGAAGTAAAATGAAAAAACCAATAATTTCTGACCTGTTTCTGTCTGTCTTCAATCAATCCTCTCCAGCAAAAGATCTAAGCTTCTCAATGATCCTCCTCTCACCGATCCGCAGAACCAGAGAATAGTATGTTTTAGGGTGGGTAGCAACACAGCACTCACCCAACAATCTTTCCTCCTCCTCCAACAACTTCACATCATACAAACTTTCCCGGGCATTTGCAAGTGAAACCAGCGCTTTTCGAACTTTCTGCGTCAATAGCAGCTTCCTTTTGCTTTCATCTGATCCTATTGTCGGGAGGAAACCCCCCGGAATTCCAGCGACCACTGCTTCAGCCACTGACAACTCATAAAACTCCTTCTCGGGCAGCAACATTATGTGTAGTAAAATTAGCAGCTCCACTTGAGGCTCCCCTTCGAATGAAACTTCGAAATACTCAGAATTCTGACTCACACATCCACAATAGCCTAACTTTCTCCACAAAGAAACTCTTCTTCGGCTGCTACGGCTAGAGAGGAAAGATGAACTCCATTCAAGAACGGTTTCTAGATCTATATTAAGAATATCAAATGGATTTCCGAGCTCAGTGAATCCATATCTGTGTAGAAGTGCCGCGTTTCCCAAGGATCCGTATGTATTGAACACCTGATATTTTTTAGAGAAAGGCCTTATGTATATATATATATATAAATTAGTCTAACAACTGACACTATAGTTGAATTCAAGTTGAACTTGAAGCAATTTCAGTCCCGCTTAGCATGCAGACGATGCATAAAGGGTTCAATAACACGAGACTGAAATTGATGCATATTGAATTCAAGTTAAAATTTGGTTTACTGTGATACGAAAATGAAAACTCAGCAGTAAATTGGATTAAAAAATGTATTTTGCTTGTTGCCGAAATGAAATATAAGGCAGCATTAGACCGTACCTCATCTCCAGCTTTGCAATCTTTCACAACGATCATCTCCATATACGTAGGTCCCTGCTGTAGAGGTGAAGAGCTGTGTGAAGAAGCTTCTGTTTCCAAAGGGAAATCAAGAGCTATGGGCTCATTATGTTCTTTTTTATCACTGTCATCTGTCTTTCCATTTTCTGTGTCAGAATCAGAATCTGAAGTAGAAGATACGAATGTGAAATGTACATTCTCAGCAGCTGTCTTGTTATTAAAGCTGGACAAATGAATTAGTGGTCGACTAAGAATAGGATACCATATGAATAATAAACACCAAATCAGCATATACTATTTAACATCGAGTGCCACTTGTGAGACATTTGGTAGTTGAGGACCTGAGGTTATAACCATCCACGGACATGAAAAGAGACACATATACATATTCTTGGGAGCTCATATTAGGAAAGACAAAGCAATAGAATATCCTAATAATTACAGACGTAATATAGATTTCTGAATTCCAAGAAACAAATAAATGAAAGGTGCTGATTTTTTATAATATGTAACAGAAACAAAAGGCTTTATTATTGTTATTAGTATTTATATTCAGTGCTAGTTTTGCAACATATTTGAATTAGCTGAAGTAAAAGAGCTAGTTCCCCTTCTTTCCGGTTAAATATTTATTTTGTCAAACCAAAACTTCTCGACTTGCCACCAATACGCATCCCCTGCGAATTTACGATAACTGGAACAGTGAGATTAGGTATACTTACAGGTCAGCTAAAGGAACCATCCCAAAACCATGGTATTCATCAATCTCAAATGCCCGCGAAGCTACTAAACTCTTGGCAGCAAAATATTCATCAATGGTGAAAAAGTCCGGATTTAGATCAAAAGAAGCCAAAAGTGGTTTGATACATTCTTTCCAATCTTGATGGACCAGGGCTTTATCTTCTTTAACTGTCTGCCTAAAAGTTGAGTCAATTAATTACTCATAAACAATACATATTAAGAAATAATGTACATTAGAGAGACTAATGACAGATGAGTATGTGTGGTGAATGATAAAATAAATAGAGAAGCTGCCGATAGAGCAAAACCAACTCAACATCACTTGTCAATAGGAATTCATTATATAACAACAGCTAAATAAGGTAAATAGCTAAGAAAATTCGGATTGACTACGCACATGACACAACTATGATCTTCTTACATCTTAATTCTTACTCGGTTAAAGCAATTCATTCTCAATGGAGACAAGATAAGCAAATTGGAATTCTCCAAACACTGTATTTGCATATCCAATGTTGGGACATCTACCAATTATGAATATGATGTTTTTGGATCATTTGTGATTCTACCATATACATCTCCTGTAATGCTATGCAGTGTGAACATTTATGTCAGGAGGGTGTCTTTTTTTTTTTTTTTTTTTTTTTTAAATTTATAAATATAAGAATTCACAGGACAGGACAGGACAGGACAGGACAGAGCTTGTAGGTGTTTTTTTTCGATCTATTTCAAATTTACTAACATCCCTTGTGGCCACTAACAAACTTCAAGACAAAGAAAGCTGGAATTTTATTGAGGTGTAACAGGTGAATTAAGCTCTAATGAACTGTAATAAAATAACATTGAATCTGAAATTGTTGAAAATATTCTGAATCAAAGCAATGTATTACAGGATCAATCAGGATATGGTGTTGAAGCAGATCTGGATAATACAGTCTCTTATGTGGTTTTACACTACAGTTCAACAGATTTGTACCATTATTCAACCAACACTGAATTGATGTTTTATAGCATTCAATAGATTCTTTGTGTGGTTAAACAGATTTCTTATTTGATTCAACATACTTTTCTATGCTGTTCCATCCAACATCACAGTTCTGAACCAAATTCAGCTAACAATCCGGTCCCTCGCATTATTATACTTCCCATAAATGTTGTTTTTAATCAGCACAAATCAGGGATATCTACACAAAATAATACGGTTAATGTAAAGGAATTGCCATACTTTGCTATTAAAATATTTTTTGTCCCATGTTCTGTAACTTTGGTAAATAGGAGTAGAGTAATATTATGGGTTTGTTTGGTTGTGTTTCCAAACGCCATTTTCACTACTGATCTACAATAATTTATTTAATATATTAAATTAAAAATATCACATCAAACAACTATTTTATCATATCAAACAATAATTTTAATTCAAAATATCACTATTCTCAATACACACGAAAACACAACCAAACAATATCAAAGATTTATCAAGATTGCTATTAGGGATGTGTTTAGATATGTTGTGTTTTGAGAACAGTAAAAAATTTGAATATAAAATAAGTGTTGTAAGCAATATTTTGACAGACAAGTGCAACAACAAATTCGAAAAGTAAACATGGCCTCAATGATACTTGACTTGTTTTCCCAACTTTATAGCTTCTATCACCACCTCTCTAAATTTTCTACTTTGCTCTTTATCTTTGTATTTCTCCTTCTCTCTTTCAAATCACCCACCACTATTTATCAACAAAACCATCACAATATTTATAGTCGATATTGCACATATATCATAGAACTACTGCCTATCGTTTTTTGCACAAGTAGTACATATCAAGCAAATTTTGAGTTCAATTCATTAGCTCTCAGACATCAATTTTCTACGGGTAAATTCCAGTACATGCACCTGTGTTATATATATATTTTTTTTTGACAAAATCACCTATATTTGATTTATTGTATAATTAACAGTTATGATATGAAAAAGTCAGCACAAAATTCCTATTCCACCCATAATTAACCCAGCGTTCAACTCACCCATTGTTTGTGCATGAATTATTAAGGAGTACAGCCGAATATTTTATAGCAACACATAAATACCCTCGTAGGTGCAAATAATTTGTTCGAAACAAATAATTTTTTACTGTAATGGTAAAGGAAAAACACTAGGAATTCAACTTTACCACTGGACACATGTAAACAATTCAACTTTAATGGTAAAGTTGAATTTTTGGTGTTTTTCCTTTACCGTGACAATGAAAAATAATTTATTTCAAACAAATTATTAGCACCTACAATAGTATTTACTTATTTCTATAAAATAATTAAGTATACTTCATTATGATAACACACAAACAACGCCCTATGTTAATTAAGGAGGGAATGAGGATTTACTGCAAATTTTTCATATTATAATAGTTTACTATGCAATAAACAAAATATGGGAAATTTTGTGCAAAAAAAAAACTGTTGAAATTTACCAATTTTCTACATATAACACACAAAACTACAGTGGGAAACAGTAATTAAACAAATTTAATGACAGCACTGACCTTGTGTAGTTCAGTCCCACAGAGGAGAGAGTCGATTTCCGGCAAGGACCAAAGCAATGGAATTGGCTCAAAGGATGGGAGTATTTGGAAGTAACGAAACCAATTCGATAAAGGACCGAGGCTCTTTTCATACATGATAGCGACGACCAGCCCAATGTTCCCGCCGAGTCCGGCCTCCTCGATGAGCTCAGTGGCGGCCGACGTTTTGGTGGTGAGGCAACTCTGCTTGGGAATAATCGCGACGACGTCACCCTCCTTCAAATCGGCCAACGCCTTCACCGAAATCGAGAGGGAACCATCAGTGGCTGAGAGCAGGAGGGCGTCGCTGCATTCGATGTCTTGCTGCTTCATCCACCGCTTGAATCCTCTCATCCTTCGATCACTGAAAACGGCGATACCGATGTTAATAGGATAGGATTCTTAGTGCAGATGTCAAAGAGGTGGATGCTAGTTTAGGAGAACGTGTACCTGGAGCTGGAGGCAGCCATCACAATGCGGCGGCGGCGGCGGCGGCGGAGGCTATTGCATGGAGTGTGTGGGGGTTGAACAAAAAAGAAGGGTTTACGGACATAAAAACATCGGACAATTGGTATGACCTCGTTACTGGTGATGTTCAATTATAATTCAGTCCCTATTTTAAAACAATTGGTCTGCACTCCCTACTTTACATATTTAATTTAATATTAGTCCCTGTTTTAGATTTTCTCAAATAAAAATTGAATGTACCTCTAGAATATCTTTAAATGCTTCCAAATTTATTTTATATACTTACAACACATTCTGTTTAAATTTGTCCACGTAGCTCCGAATCTTCGGTTTATCAGTTTTCGAACCTCTTGTTACGGTTTATATATTTGTCAAAGTGCAAACTGCTGGTTCAAACCGTCGGTTTACGGTTTCAACCGACGGTTCGGCCATTATTTTTTTCTTTTTAATTTTAAACCTGCACGCCGGCTGCGATTGTGGATTATAGAATGTTATGGACGGGCGGCGACAGTGAAGAAGAAGCAGGAGGAAAGAAGAAAAAAAAATGAAAAAGAAGAAAATACAAAAAAAAAAAAAACGAAAAACGAACCCTTGCAACTGTAGCTGCGGTGGAATGTGGAGAGTGGATGTTCTAAGCTAAAATTGTATATTATATACTTGTAATTGAAATTACTATATATCATTAAAATGTTATAAAAATAAAGATAATATTAATATTAATAAAAATAAATAATTATTAATTATATAATAATAATATACATTATTTTGGTTATTTATATTTTAGATTTTGTATTTGTTATCATACAATTATATTTAATTGAAACTATCTTATTATCTAATACACATCAATTTCTTAAAATTTAATTTTGTTTATTTTAATTTAAAATTTAATTTTGTTTATTTTAATTTAAAATTTAATTTGATTTAATTACTTAGTAAATTTATTATTTTAATTACTTTTATATTGTAACAATCTTAGCAATTATTATTTATATGATTTTACATAATAAATAAATAATAAATATATCTGAATGAAATTAAAATCGAAAATAATATTTTTGAATAAATTTTTAAATTTAGAAAAACTTAAAAAGGAAAAAAAAATATTAAAAATGAATGTACATAAATCGGCGATTCAAACCGTAACCGTCAGTTTTTTAAACCACAATCGAAACCGTCATTCAGAAGGTTCGGTTTCGGTTTGACATTTTGATAAACCGTAACCAACGGTTTGAACTGTTTTGGTGTACCTGATATAACCAGGTTGGAGGTACAACATAGCTGCTCTAGAATACTCACCTGCTTAGCCAAGTCATACCCTATGCTTAGATGCCCTTGACCAAAAATTGTTGTGTGCGCTACGGTGTGAATTAATATGTAATAGATCTAAATATTTTCAATTTGTGATAGCAATCATGTACTTTAACGACCAATATAATTCAATTTAGTCACTTATGACTTTATTAGACATCTACTAGTTGAGGTTGGACTATAATAGTACATATATTATACAACCTATCCAAGTCATTTTTTACTTGGTTAACCATTCATAACAAATATGTGTTGTTTACCTTTTCTGACAATTTGAGGTGTTACAGGAAGATTATGATAATGATCGCATCCTTAGTTACCGTCAACAAATGAATATTTTGAACAATAAATTATTGTTCTCCAACCACATGTTATTGGAACATATATACTCTTTACTGAAGCATATGAGACTATATTATAAGTAGTTAAGATCCGCGCTAGAGTATGTCGATATTTTATGTAGGTACATAAGAATGTGATCTGGGTACAAACACCTACATGTGAGGTATAAATAATGGTTTCTTAGGTATTATTTGTGTATTATCAGGTATCTTCAAGTGTAGTTAATTTCAGTTATTTTTATGGAGATGACCAATTCGCATACTTGGTGAGAACACTTCCTCTCTCAGCCTTGGTGAACTAAATGTTGTTGTGTGTGCTACGGTGTGGATTACTACGCAATATGTCTAAAAAATAACCAATTTGTGAGAGTAGTGATGCATGAGTAACAACCAACAAACTTAACAACGTCATTTCTTACTTGTTTGGCCATCTATAGTAAACATGTGTTCTTTTCTTTACTTACATGTCAGGGAGTCGTGAGAACACAATAATGATGAATTTATCTCTGGTTACTAAGAGCAATTGAATATGTTGAACCGAACACGATTCATTTTTCCTACCATATATAACCAGAGCATATATACGCGTTAGCGGAGCATATGACTTTATATTGCAAGTACATAACACTTACACTAGGGTATATCTTTAGTGCACATATGCAACAATATCCTCGAGGTACAAACACCGGTAGTCAATGTATAATTGGTGGTTAATTAAATATTATATATATATAGCTGTAGGTATTTTAAAATGTAGTTGATATCAATCAATTTCCCAACGAAGAAGACAATTAAAGCACTCTGTGATACCACTACCTCTATCAGTAGGGTATATGCATGAATGTTAAACTGATATATTCATAAATGTTAAAATGGTATATGCATAAATATTTAGAATGTGTATTTAAATAATTTATTTTTTTTTATATATTTACTTTTTAGGTGTATTATTATAATTAGAATTGTTGAATAAGAAAAAAAAAAAATTGACTCTATCTGTTTTTATTAATTCTTTTAAAAAATTAATTTACTTTTTTTAATAAAATTATATTTATATTTATTTTATTTTCACGTTTTAGAATAAAAAAAATAAAAATATTAGTAAAGATTAAAAAATATATATATATTTTCTATAGAATAAGAATTTGTTTGTTTTTTGAAAAAATTTCAACATATTTTTCTACAAAAATTAATATATTTACGCACACTCATGATATTTATATTATCTATATATTTTTTTATATTTCACATAAAAAAAAAAATTCTTTCAAATCAAAACACAAAACAAACGAACCCTAATCTTTATACATAGTAAGTATTTAAAATATATAAAATACTATAAATAAATTTTACTAGTATTAATATTTAAAAAAAATTGTATCTTATATATAGGATTTTAAATATTTGATAGAATAATTATATATATATATATATATAGATAGGTAGATATTTATTGTGCTAATATCATATTGAATCATATGATAAAGTTTATATTATATATAATATTTTTATAATATTTACATAATATTTTATACTTCCTCCATCCCAAAAGAGTTGTCTTGTTTTTTCCATTTTCGTCCATCTCAAAACAATTGTCTTATTTCCTTTATTTAGTAACCGTGGTCCCCACTTTATAACAAAATTATTTCTATTTTTCCAAACTATCCATAGTTATTACTCTACCATACTTTTAAAATCGTTCAAAAAGTAAGGAATTTTTAGTCTTTTATATTCTATTTTATACCCTACTTTTAATTAAATACTATTATTTCTTAATTCCCGTGTCAACGGCCAATAAGACATCTCTTTTGGGACAGAGGGAGTATTATATTAAATATAATTATGAATTTTGTATAAAAATAATATAAATTATTAACATCAAATTTTTTCATTTTATAGGTAGAATTAAAAGAGTAAGTAAACTAATATTGATAAAATGATATATATAATCATTGTTGTATTTAAAATCTATATATTTAATTTTCTATTGCAATTTTTTTTAATATAATTTTGTAATTCTATTGATTGAATGAATATATACATACACACATATATATATATACACATATCATGATTTTATTTAAATTCTACGTATCAATTTTGGGTTGTATTTCAATAAATTAGTCATATTGTAATTTTTATATTATGTATATTTTATTTTACAATTAGATTCCGATAATACAATAATATTAGTGCAAATTTAGAAATCTCAATGAATATGAATAAATTTGAGGGGAAATAAGAGTGATCGATTGCATGAAGGAGGAAAAATTTCAATATATTGTGGTACATGAACGAGAATGACGGGTATAGGATTTTCTTTGGGATATGAGAAGTATGTAGTTGTTTTTTTTGTTTCATCCCATAATAAAACATAATTATAATTATTTATTATTATTATTATTATTATTTTTAAATACATATACAAAAGTACACAAAACCTAAATAAAGGTATATAGTAGAACAATTTAGGTAGAGCGAGACGTAGTATAGGTAGAGCGGAATGTGCTATAAGTATATAAAAAAATGTTAAAAGTATTTAAATATATTTTAAGGGTACATCATATTTATACTATACTATTTAATGAAAAAATAAAAAAATAGGGATTAAATCTAAATCAATACTGAAAAGGAGGGAGTGCAGATCAATTTTTTAATAATAGGGACTGAATGTAAATTCTATATTACTGACAGGGAGTGCAGACTAAGTCTCCCAATATAAACATCCCACTCTGATTTCATTAATCCTCCTCACGGAAACAAATGAATAATATATATATTTTTTAAAAAAATTAAACTTATTTTGATATTTATATATAAATTATAAATACTTTGATACCGATGAATAACTATTCTCTCAAACCTATTTTGTAGCGGATAGGTGATGATTTAATATAAATAATTATAAATTTAAATTAAAGTAAATAATTAATTTAATTTAAATTAAAAAAATTAATGATTATAAAATTTAAAATATAATTAAAATATATAATTATTTTTTTTAATATTATTGTTTTACTTATTATACATTTTTTTATTTAAATAAAAAAAGGTAATATATTTTTTTTTAATGATAACTCAATTTGTTTAGTTTGGATTTAAATTTTATTTATTTATTTGCTTATTTATTTATGTTTTACTTAAATACTAGTATTCTATCGAGACATATTACAAAAATAACTACTTCGTCCCAATTGAGAGATTGTCATTTTTTATTTTTGTTCGTCCTAAAATACGGTTACCATTTTTTAATTTAATAATTGTAGTACCTACCTAACATAATAAATATCATTTCAATTTACATTATACTACCGAAATGTCGTTACTTTTATATTAATGCAATACTAATAGGGGTATTTACATCTTTTTCACTATAACCCATTATAATACTAATATTAAAAAATTTACATGTAAAAAATACACAGCAACCTTACACCAGG